CCACTCGGAACACGACTTCCAGCAAGGGTCACGAAGACCCCATTAAGCTCGACTACGGCACCACGTTTCCGGGACAAATTTTTCTGATGCCGTCCACGTAGGTGGCCACTATGAAGATTTTCTTATAAAATGAAATCTGCTCTCCAATACTAAGCTGAGAACGTTCCGTTAGAATGGAGCAATGTGTGATTGAATACATCTGAATGTGGAGACAAAATCTCTTCTTTTATTGGTCCCCCCTGTATTGGAGAGGTCTGTTCAGGAAAAATGAAGCATAGTTTAATGTTTTGTGCACTTCTTTCTAAACAAAGGAATACCCGCTTTGAATAAAATGGGGCTTGATCCAAAAGACTTTCCTGATAATAGCCCAAATAATTGAATATTTCTTTATTCCCCAAAATAGGACTATTCACACAATTTTCTGGATAAACATGGAACATGATCAAAATTCCAGTAGAAAATTTTCAATTTTTTCGCGAGAACCTGAGAACTGGGGAGTATTGCCAGCCGGCCATTGTTCCCATTCCAGAAATTTGACGACCCTCGGAGGGATTTCGATACGACTCCAGCATCACTATCAGCCCTAGATAGGGGGCTACTCTCACAATAATGACCCATCAAATTTCGTGAATATGAAGTCCTTTTCAACATTTTGATTCTCGCCAACCCTCATTACGACGCCCCTCTTCGATGTGTCTCAAATAAGCCTCCCACCCGTTGCGAACTGCGCATGGCGTTTGACCCTGGTGGGTAGCAGCATTATTTTTACTCTCCTAGGTCAATATTTTACCTCAACTGAGCTTCCAGTCACATTTTCACCATAACTTGTCAGCAGTTGCACGTATGAGGCGGTGCTTGAACAATGGCAGTGAACCGTTGACTGGTAGATGTTCCAACTTTGACCTGGGATCTTTTACATTACTTTTCATCCAAAAATGACTTTGGCACCACGAAAAATAGCAGTTAGCTAAACGTAACGAGTGAAATTTGTGTCATCCACCAAAGCTTTGAGCTTCACGGTTCACTGCTGATGTGTGCAGTCCCGCTCATCACGTTACATATGTGAGCGCTAATAGGATGTCACCGTGGCAGACCTGCCCGATAAGCATGAGGTTGTGGTTCGAATCCCGGCTAGGGCTAGTGTTTCGCCCACTACTCAGTGCACTTAAGATTATATGGATTGTCAGCTTGATATTGATGGATTATGGGTTTTATAGTCTGGAAGAATGCTCAATTGCCTTCAAATATAACATGCAGAAAAGCTCTACTTGGACATCCCAAAGTGTCTATGCTCTTGCAATTCTTAGATCAATTTCCCTCTTGGAAGAGTAATCTTATGGCTCACGTTGAAGTGGTGAAAGGAACAAGCTCGTTGCATTACGGTAACTCTCCCGTTGTTGAGGCAATTGGGGATCGCACGCGATGCTTTACGACGAAGATTCATATTGAGCAGCGTACGGAGATTGATTGACAGCGTTTTATTATGGACTAATTCCTTTATGAGCCATTCTCAATGATTCGGCAATAAGATTGGAAGAAATTTGCTGGATACAAAATGAATTGTTTCACTGGAATCCTCAATGGATTATAAAACCTTTTTTTAAGAGCAAAGAAAATGCTGTTCGGCTTCCCTCCCCAAACACTTGTCAAAAATTGATTACCCCTCCCGAGGCTGAACAGGTTGGTTTGCTTGAATAGAAGCATTGTTACAATCATAGGTAGGAATTGGCACGTGTCCAAAAAGATTCGCTTATAATCCGGCGCATATTTCTGCTTCAATTCATAACTGCATAGGTTTACGTCCAGATTTGGACTGCTTCAATTTCATTCAGGTGCTCGCCAGAGCAATCAAAATAATGGACCACCACACGCTTGAAGAGGAGTGGTGTCGATCTGGAGTGGTTCTCGGTAATAGGAGATGCTCTGCTTCTACACGAATGTTTATGGTGGGACTATGAAATGAGGTGGAGATTATGGTTTCAATATTCAGTATGCACGTTTCACCCGGCCCTTCCTCGAAGTCTTCGGATCTCCTCAACGAATTCGCTCATCTCAAAGTATTCCTATCACCGTTTCCACTCTTGATTGTCGGGCTCAATTCCCTTACTTCGCTCTTGATAGGAACGCATTTATGTGACAAACGGACATGCTGGCCCTGCTGTAATCCAATTCCCCCTTCACATCCTTCATATTTGATAACGGCGGGAAGTCCGCTCGGTTTGCCCCCGGATTCAGTAATGAAAGCCAGTCCAAATTTGCCGTAAATCAACATTGGAACTAACCCCGAAGAAATTTGACATTCGCGGTAAGTCAAGCCAAGGCAAGGTGGTTCAGATTAGTATTACTTCCTTCCTTCCTTACTTTTCTCCTTATTTGATTTCTAAGTTCCTTTGTTCTTTGAGTTAAAGCACTTCTTCATATTGAAAAGATGAATCGAAATCGTTGAGAAACATAGGGGAATTTTCCGGCAGAAGAGTTCCGTGCATTATCTCTTAATATGTGTGGAAATTAGATGTGCACGGAGCGGTATGCATTTTTAACGAAACGTTGATTGAAATAAATTGGCGTTGCTTCAGTATGCATGGGATGATGCATCCGAGTAAGTTGCTTAGTGAAGACGGGTCTACGGTAGCGATTTATGAAAAGCCTGCAAACAGGTATCAACTCTGACTTACTACTTCAACAAACATTTCATTTTTGAATAGAACTTCTGATAAAAACATCAAAACGAGTCATTCCTTTCTTCTCCTTTTCAAAAAACCTCTCATTTTCTTTGAGAGACCAAAAAAATTGTTCTTGAACAGTTTTTAATTCGGGGTCTACCAAATTCTTCAATCAGTGACAAATTTTGCTCCTTAGAAGATGAACGCGATTTTGTGCTACCGAATCCACTCTGATTCAATACCATCTTTAAATTTTTTGAAATTCCGACCCTTTTGTTTCTTTCCTGATGGACGATTTCTGCTCCTTCTACCCGAGCAAATCAATTCCAGGCGAATGGGAATGCGTGGCCGAGAAAATTGGCTCTTACCAACGACCTGCCACACATTCCTTCAGGAGAATAAAATAGTTAGGTTTGGGTAAAAACATAGAAATCAGATATTTTTAAGCGGGAATAACCAAAGAATTAGTTCGACTTCCGTTTTGCACGTGCCCTTAGACGGAAGCCGAACTGGAAAAAATACCGTCCCTCCGTGCTCTTCAGTAAGTAAGGGAAGAAAAAGCGTTGAATGAGCATAGTTTTTATTATGCTCATTCAACGCTTTTTTAGAAGTTTAGATAGCGATTTTTATGATTATTTCGACAAAGGGGTAAGGAATTTTTTGTGCTGAACAATTAGCGCTGCCATGATATCTAAACAGTCGCACTATTAAGATGATATCATGTTTGGGTGCTTGGAATAAGGCTTAATTCAAGTCGAGAGGGGGGATACGCTTATGTATGAGTGTCAAGTGGACGAGGCCAGCCTTCTCTCGTGCAATCACGGTTCCTGGCTCCAATATAAAGTAAGTCTTAAGTTTAGGGGCTTGATTTAAGGTGTTGTAAGGAATATAAGTCGGTACTGCAGTAGGTAGCCAGTGGACAAAGTACTGCCTTCTTTGTTAGTCCTAGTCCCGCCTGAGGGGAAAGTTTTGTTCACAACCCAGTATTCTTGTGAAACAAAGTACTGCATTTTCAAATCGTAATATAATGAAATTGCTAACTGCTTAATCTTTTACTGGAGCGTTGTTACAGCTGTAAGTATTAGCCAATTGTGGGTCATTCCCTTCATACCTTCCTCGAAATCTCACCTTTTTGAACACTTTCTGCTCAACTTTTGCTATCACCTAACTTCTAACTGCTGATTTCTTCCTGTCTGACTCACTGGTGTATGTCTACAACCGGAGCGTGAACTGGCCAAGTCCGTCATGAAGAGCCTCGTTCTGGTCTGAGCATGAAACCAACATTTTGATACCCATAAATCGTGCCACCATTTTGATACCCATGAAAACGTCCTTCAGATTACATCTGCTACCCCTGTACTAGAAGACTTTCTCGCTCGTAGCTTGTATGATTTCCATGGTTAGAGCTGGCTCGATCTCAAATCTCGTCACAGATTGGAAGACATCTCCAGTTCTGCGGCTTCCCGCTTTCAATTGGTGACCGCGGACGAGTGTCACTACTCTCATTCCGTTACACTTAGCCAAAACATTCAATAACGCACCAAGCATGAACAAGCCGAGCAATTTTCGCGATGTGCGCGGTTCAATTTAGATGTGTGCAAAAGTGACGACGGGCGCTCTGGCTTTCCTGGATGCTAGCGAATGGGCGGTGTGAAGATAGGAGGGGCAGAAATGTGAGGAGGGTCGGTGGCAACAGAACGCCAACCAATCACGAGGATCCTCTTCGCGACTACTTCTGTTGCACATCACCGCTGAAAGCACGCTCATCGCCAGCATCACCATAATAGTTCTTTTTCGAAAGGTTTCTTTAATTCCGCTATCCATTTCCTTGTATTCAACATAGTATCCGTCCCAATCAATATGTATCCTTTTCCTTGATCGTGGTGAAAGAGCAGTTTTTAGTGCACAACATCTTCAGTCACGCTGTCTTCCACTCGATTTCTCATCTGATCTATTCTATTTTTGAAAGTGGTGTAGATTGAAACGGGAATATTTTCTTGTTTCACCTGATTCGTTCGCGCTACCTGATTTCTCGAAGAGCCCCTGTTGGTGCTGCTAAACGAGAATATGGTGATTGTGAGTGAAACTAGAGAAAAGCGAAGCGGCTTACTTGGTTCAGATTATCTTGGCTTTGTTTAAATTAAGCCCCTTGGGGCCTAGCAATCAACCTCGACTGACTGGGGTAATTCAAGATTTCGCCTTTTCGAGATAAACGAACATCTCATTTGGAGGAACTGAACTATTATGAACATTTCAGCGTTCATCTCTACGCTTCCATTGTTTACCTCTTCACAAAATATTTTTCTGAAGGGTATCGTTGATCCTGGCACATTATTGATGCACGTCATCCACAACGAACTATCTGGTGGTGTTTACTCTGTCGCCAATTTGTTGGCTGAAAAGCAGAGAACCTTGTCTTCGAACGAACTTGCAGCGAAATATGGACGTGAAATGATCGAAAGATTGGGAGTGGCTTTAGCCTTCCAACAGAAGCTAGCCCTAACCCAGCAAAGTGAGTGTTTCCATTCTTGTGTTCAACTAAACCATACATGCCTACGAAACTGCTATAGGGTTTCCGTTAGATGATATTTTCACCCAGATTTTCGCTCATAATGTTTTAACACGTTGGAGATCGCGCATGTTTTACGTGTTGCGGTCACCTGGGGCGTATGTGAGGAATGCTATCAAGCAAATCGGGAGAAAAAACCTACTTAATCATGCAGAAGAAACCTCATCATATGAAATGAAAAAAATCAAAAAAAAAGACATAATATTTGTTCCCATGGTCTGAAAGGTGCTACGCAGTCGACTAATTGCAGCCTACATATGAGCTGCATGGGCTCCAACCTGTTGAGGGGTACTTTGTAATGGCTCTGGATATGAAATGGGTCCAGGATGCGGGTTTCTGCTTTTGTTGTGTCCTAAACTCAACGTTTCCACAAAATCTCCTGATATAGCAAGCACATTACCGTAGTGAAGACATGCAGGCGCCGAGGGCGGGGCTAGTCTCACAGCTGCCAGTCTGACCGCCCCACATATCGTATGCTGTCCGCGGCGACAGACGTGATTTAATTACTTTTCGGAATCATGCTAGGCTGAATTAAGGGACACAGTATAGATGAAAAGTTGAAATTATTTAAATCTAAATATTTCGTGGTAATATTGATGCATTCAGCAGTGTTTCCGATGATATTCCCTGATCAGTACGCGCAGTTGTTCTCAACAACGAATCTAGATCTTGAAGCTGCATCGAGAAGCCTTGCTGTTGCTCCTGTGCCATTGTTTTGGGAACGTGATTTGGAACAGGGTACACTTAGTCTGATGGCCTTCCCTCGGACGGCTTGCGAAACGCGGGGTCGGTTTTTCACTCTCTATCAGTGATTTTCAAACCGAACTGAGCCAGTTGTTTTTTAGGTGAAGTTAGTGACAAAAATAAGCTAGATGAATTGCTAGAAGGGCCATCACCTTCTGTTGAAAGAGTTTTCTCGTGCATCAAATGTGCCAAGATCTACTCAACAAATACCGCGCTTGAGGTAGGTTAACTTCTGCTTCAAACCCCTAACCGAGCTGGGTCATGAGATTCGAATATTGCAGCAACATCGGGCTACTCACACCATGGATAAGCACTTTGAATGCAAACAATGTGGAAAGACCTTCAAGAGGTTAATATTTTGGCTTTGAGGTGCCTTGTATAGAAATTTCTAAACAAGTCATTTGAGATCGTCCACGCTGTCGACCCATCTCCTTATTCACTCTGACACTCGCCCTTATCCATGCCAATACTGCGGAAAACGGTTTCATCAGAAAAGCGACATGAAGAAGCACACTTACATTCACACAGGTAAGGGATGAGATTTCGTCCAGGTATTCGTAAACTTTACATTGCATGCCTTCGACGACTCTTGTATGGTTCCCAATCACTTCAGCGCTTTTTCATTGGCCATACGGCCACAATGTGTGGCTGATTAAAGCTGGCTGGTTGAAATTGATGCCAACAGCAGCAATCCGAGCGTAATCGTATTCATCTTTGAAGCTGCCTTCAGTCAAATTCCACTTTATTCCTCATACATAACCCCTTTCGGTCGCTCCTGTTCCTACCAGTTGCCTGCTTATTCTACCTTTCGTTTCCCACAGGCCCGTTGACCATGGGATGGAATTACCTGGACCAGTGGTTTAACAAATTGTTGCTAGTAACCATACCTGACCTGGAGTGGCGCTGTTCCCCTCTTGTGATCATGTCGGGCCCTTTGAGGAGGCGATCGTCGAAACGTCAGGCCACTATAAAGTCCCGGCCTAAAAAGCTCGTTGGCTGTAAAAAACGTCATGGGTGCTACAGCGTTCACTGAACAGACCTTCCGCAGTACCGCGTCGAAATACTGCAAATGGTTACACGGTGCCCCGAACCAGGGTAAACCCTACGTTGGTACAAGTACCAACGGGGGGGGGTCGTAGTTTGTTGAAGCTTGTGGTGGGGGGTCGTACTTGTTTCGGTAGCCTGAAATTACTTGTGATGAGGTGGGAGCGCGCGGGAGAAAATTTGCCGTTTCAGCGTGCGTACAGAAAATGTTGTAGTGGAAATATAGGTAAAAACTAGCAAAATAGAGTGGAAAGGGGAAAGTAGAGAATTTTTTGCGGTTTTATGGTAGTTATGTACCCCCTCCCCCGCTTGATGGTGTTTTTTGAGGGAAAATTAAATTGTGAAGAGGGGGTCGTATGAAAGCTGCCGTGAAGAGAGGGGTCGTAAAGATTTTGTAAAAAGTCCCAACGATAGGACCGACCCTGCCCCGAACTGCAGCAGCGTTTTGGTCCACGGGAGACCCGCCGAAATAAACTGCCCTTATGAAACCCCTTCATACCGGATAAGGTTAGCGCTGCCATCCATCGATGTAAAGTAAGAGCCCAGTTGCAAAACGATGTCCAGCAGGTAAAAACTGGTGACACTAAAATTTACCAGCAATGAATTATGGAGAAAACTCTATAACCTTCCCAGATTGCCAAATCCCTTGAATGCCTTATTACCAGCGTACCCAAACATGCAATGCCGATCCGATGCAATGTGACCCCTTCGAAGAAGATATATGTATGCGACCCCCGTGATGAAATTTGCTCCAGGGATGTTTAGCCATGGCTACGAGCCACTAATGCCCGTCCTTTTGGAGGGATGAAATTAGCAACGGATCATTACAGTTTTGGTAGTTTTCTACAAGAAATAGTTGTGGTTTAGTATAAACTCCTTGCTTACTCGTGACTGTCGCGAATTTTCATCGATTCCCCTCTGCTAACTCTCGCCCGAGATGCAATATACCGTGTCAATTAGTGGTTTATTGGAGTTCCCGAACGTCCGAATCAGCACGCTGCGCTATCCATCTTCGCCCTGATAGAGAATTAGCACGATTATTTGACACTCATATAACAAATTATATCCTACGCTTTGGTAGCTGCGACTTTAGCCGAATACGGGGCTAATATCCCCAGCCTTCGATGGGCATGTAATTTCATTTGTAGTTTTCCTTTCCAGGTTTCCAGGTAGAATTTTTAAGTGGTAATTCCTAGTCAGGTTCATATAGTTGGCCCATCAAGCTGATATTATTCAGGCGAGAAGCCGCACAAGTGCACAGTATGTGGAAAAGCGTTCAGTCAGTCGTCGAATCTCATTACTCACACGAGGAAGCACACAGGATTTAAGGTTGGGATTGCCACGGTGCATGCAAAATTTGCTGCCAATGTTATTGTTAGTCGGAGTCATTTAAGCAAATGACCATCTCTTACGTGCATATCATTAGATGCTCGTAAGCATCAACTGGCCAGATCGTTTGAATGGCAAGAGCTTCACAAATCATATGTTTGACGGAGACTGAATATCGTTTTAGCCCTTCGCTTGTGATGTGTGCGGACGAACTTTCCAACGAAAAGTGGATCGAAGGCGCCACAGAGAAACACATCACCCTGGTCAGCTCGAAGAAATAGATGGTAAGCACATCTTGAGCTCGAACATAATGAACTGCATCAGATGCCCTTTGGAGATGGCTTGAAATCCATTCGGCGAAAGCTTCACTACGGTGAGAATGAGGCTTCAATCAAATGATGCCCTCCAAAGTCTCATCTCCCCGCGGTAATCTAGTCATAATCCACACATGGCGAATCCAATTTAGTGCAACAATGCTGTTGGCTATAACCGACATGTCACTCAATTACCGACCATGTGAAATAGCATCTGGACAGTGGGCCAATTAAGACCACCCGGCATTCTTCCATTTCCGCTCAGAACTAAATCGCTATTCACTTTTTAACAAGTTCAACCACTATGAATTTTTTCAGGGGGGTCGAATATTTTTGAACTATCTTCATTCGTGTCACTTCCACAGGACTTCAAGCACAGCACTCCAGAGGAAACGTTAAGAGCATTCAGGTACTTTCAACAACAACTTATTCAAGTATCAACAGTAATGAAAAAGAGATGTGCACTATTTCCACAATTTCCACATCTGATGTGCTATATTTTCACAATTTTAGCATCTTTTTTATAAAGCTTACACTCATATTTTTACAAAGTTTTCATATTGTTTTATGGACCACTCTCGAATTCAAAGGTGCGAGCTGGGATCGAATTAGACAATATTTTTTCGAAAAATAAAAGGTGACGAGGAACGGTAACAGGGAGAAGAAGCAAAGGGCGCTATGAAAAAACGCTAAAATTTCCTTCACGAGGTCGGCCGTGACATGGCGAAGTGAAATAGGGCTGCGAAGAGGGGAAAAACGCGAGAGAGCACGTCATACGCGAGAGGGTACAAACGCCACGTATGCTGTGATTGATAAGGATGGCAGCACTCAAGATAAGGTCTTAGCCTCACACTTTTGAATAAATGCGCTTGGGGACCACTCTTTCTCACCCTAGAATAGACTGGCTCTTAGGGCCTAATCCCGACCCTTGTGTTTCACATCTATTTAGACAGACCTAGACGTGGAAGTAGTCTTTCGAGATTATACCCAGGAAACACTATTATGCTGTTAGGAATGCTCATTCACTCCACCTAGCTCTTCCGAAAAACAAATGAATAAGGTATGTGGGACGACTTGGGTTTTTTCAGGAGCTTAGTATAGTGCGGTGCAAAATCATAGGACACCCCCAAAACATGAATATCTCGGCTTCCAGGATTCGTCATTCACAGTAACATGCAAAACCAGAATAATCTTCACAAAAAAACCTATACTCACAAAATACTCGGTTATCCGATTGATTTTCCATATTTTTAGACAAATTTTTTAATTTTGGAGCCGGTGCAAAATCACAGGGCACCAGTGGGACTGAGTTTCACATAGACAACGTAGTGTAAGTAAAATAAATCAGGGTGGATCGAATGAGCTAACCACTCCATTGACGGGTTTTCAGAAAAATTGGTACGTTGCGGTCAGTATAAAAGCACCAAGACTACCATTTATATCTTCTAGAGCTTTAAGGTTCGCGGTCCACTGCCGATGTCGGCTGAGCGGCTTTCACGTTAGACGTGCGAGTGCTGATAAAGTGGTAAAGGGTAGGCCATTCCACTAGAATTAACCCTTTCGGTACGTCACGCATACCACTCACAATCGGGATCATATGCCTTTTGATTGCGATTTTGGCTGTATTGTAACTTGCGGAAGCCAGTCGATGTTTGCGTTAGCAATCTTTTATTTCTCCAGAAAACTCTGCTACCGAATATCGAACCCGGAGGGAGGGAGGGCTTTGGTTGACCTTAGTGGCGCATGATCCTGTATTTAATACCCGGACAGCGCTGTGATAAGCAACCTTACTTCCCACTACACCATTTCCGCCCGTCAGTGAATGAAAGCTTTTTTCAACACAATGCCACCAAAAGTTAGAATACGGTAAGATGATGGCCGGTATAGCATGTGGTAGCTCTTTAACCTGTGAGTGAGAGAGGCGTGTTCGCGCAAACTGCATTACCTACAATCCAAACTAACTATCCAAACTAACACTCATAACCAAGTTAAATAACGGTCGAGGAATTCCTCGACCATGGCATTTTGAGAGAGTAGTGCCGAGAGTGAACGTACGCGTGGAGAGCACAGACAGCTCGCGGATAGCAAGTGTGGATGTCGGCGCGCGAGAGCGTAAGCTGACCGGGCGGAAATCCTCGACGTGCCGTCGATGAATTCTTGTGCGATAAACACCCTGCTCACAACTGCATCATGTTTATATATGTATACATATGACTACACATAGCACGATACGCTCAACGGATTGTGGATACTTCAGGAGATATAGGCTTTGAAAATCAAAAGGATTCACATAGGTGACGTAGTTTTAATTTTTGTATGCATCTCGGGGCTATGTGTCTCATTGCTACACTCCCCATTTGTTAAAGAATTTCTCAATCTATAATCCTGTTATCATTTTGAACAAGTCAAACTGTTTCAGCAGGGATACAGTCTTCGTAAAAACCTATTCTTTAGGTGTTTTCAAAGTGCCTGCTCATAGCGACGAGATTAGAGCTTTTTTCTTAAAGTAGTGGAACTGCGGTTACCACGTCGAGATCCGTACCAGTTCTGCTATTTGAGGGCCTGATCCCCTTAAATCATTGTATTTCATTGCAATTGGAGCTGCAATCGAGAATTTTTGACAATTTTTCATTCATGGTGAACACAGCTGACGTTCAGACCGCCGTCACACTCGGCGACGGACAAGCGATGGAGCGATCGCTTGCAAAGTGCACAAGCGACGGGCGATGGCTCTGCTCGATTGATACCGCGACCGACTGCATCGATTGGGGGCGGGGCCAATCGCCGGTCGCTTGTAGACTTCACAAGCGATTGCGCAATCGCTTGCTCCGTCGCCGAGTGTGACGGCGGTCTCAGAGATGATTACGATGACTTTCCTGTCGATTGTAAAAAAAATGCAAAAAGAAACAGGTCAAAAAATTAAGGGATCCTCCAGAGTAGGTGATCCAAAGTTGGAGGCTCACACCGCTATTCATCATTCTACCGATCCCTCTCATGAATGAGGGTGCTGGTTCCGCACATGTCGAGATAAGGCAAACCAAAATTTATTTTTTTTACCAAACCAAACGTGTGGACGGGGTGTTGTAGATACAAAACCTGGATGTCTCAAGTAACCACGTGAGTCACTGTTGGGGTATCTGCTTTCTCATTCCCTTCTATGCTCTCGTCTCCGTCTGCGTACTCCGGCCCCACTACCCAGTGTTTCTTTCCTAAACTGCTTGTCTCCGAAGATGTCTAAAAGAATTGACTCGTTTAGGGCTTCCCCACTGGTTTTAATCGTTTTTTCTTCGTTTGCCAGCCCTTTGGCGCCTATTATATCAAAGTTAAGCACCATGAACCCCGCCGTTTGCTAGTTCGAGATGTGTTTAATTTGCTGCAAAGTGTTTAATATGCTGCAAATAAAAGGGGCCTATAGCGGTGACATAGGAAGAGTTGAGTGCTATAAATGTTCCATTGCCATTTTCAACTTACTATTAGAGCGGAATACCTTGAATGGAATAAATGCAGAGGTATGGTTTAACTTCCCAATAGTTTGCCGGACATTTTAGTATTGGCACCATTATGGGTATGAAATGAGTTTCGGTTGACCTTTACTACACCTGATCGGAATGTGCGAGGTCGACTCAAAAAATGTCGGACCTTTTGAAATCCTTGCCAAATTTCCTGGAACAGGTTTATGCTGTTGCTGGCAGAGTGTTGTATTGGGCCGCGATGTCCTTTTATGTCCAGAAGTCCAGCCGTCTAAACCCATTTCTAAGGGTGTAAGCGACTGAACTCTCATGACTTGATCACTACTAAGGTCATCCGTTCCTAGATGTCCACCTCTGTTCATTCTATCAGTTTTCCTTGAGACACGCTTGATTGGTAAATATACCATCAAAAGAACATAACCGTTAAATAGAAATGTTTGTAGATGTTAGTTCTAAAAATTAGGTGGGTCCGCTACAGCTCTAAAATCAGCCACGTTGAAATATTCAATGGCTAGTGGCTCCAGTGTCCACAGTAGCACTATTGAGAAAAAGGATCACAAAAAATCTTGAAGACTGCTGATGCATATTCAGGAGGAGGGGCACAAAAAGTCACTTCCATCGAATATTTGAGGCACAATCTAATCCATCAAAACATTCAATAACAGCCTTCTACACCGACGACATCAGAAGATTTTCCTATGGAAACATGGTTCACGGTACGAGCTAAAGGAGGTCGTTGAGGTGCCATAGACCATTACGGTCCCTGAAGCGCTGGGCAAATGCGGTTTTGCACGGTCACAGCTAGTGTCTCTTAGAACCTGTTCACCAAATAAATCGGTTGAAGAAATCATGTAGTAAGTCCAGAGCGGAGCGATCACGGTAAGCCTCGTTGAGCTCGACGATACGGCAGATGACGCCATATTCTGGAGACGTCTCTGGGAGGACACCTAAGGGAAGAAAGATTTGACCTTCCAATTGAAGTGATTTGTATAACAACGTGGCTACTGCAGGGGTTTTCGAAAAAAAAACTTGGTAGGTTTCTGAAAGTAGAAGTCACTACGACTACAACCATGCCCAGGTTTATGCAAAATTTTGGAAATTACTTCCATTTAGTAAGTGGAATTTCAAGTTGACTTGATTCCCATCTGAGCGAGAGAAAACACCGGCCTTCCTACTGTGCACCACTTCTTTCCATATCGATGAAGGCCTATACATGATGACGGGCATAGAATTATGTAAAAAGTCACAATTAGCTAATACGTAGGGGTCGTACCAATCCCTCTGAAAGGGAGAGGGTCGTAGAAATTTTGAAATTTGCGCAACGCACGGTTCATACTTATTGTGACTCAAAACGACAGCGTCTGGAATGCTTGTCACGAATATAAAAAGCAAAATTGCTGCGCGGACTTGCCAAAAATTGTGAGCGGTCAAAGTTGGCTGCCAATGCAGTGTTGGTATAGTGATATTTGAAAAAAGCCTATTTGGTAAGGGTACCGATGGCCCTGATCACGGAGACAACATCTACTATTCTTAGCTTTGACGTCAGTTGGCACCATTGGAAGGCGCTAACTAGACCGCAAAATTTTGACCCCACGGGAAACTCAACTTGAGAACAATTTTGACGCTAACGATTCCCTTGGCAGGCTCATGTTGGTCTGAGTCCTTACATTTGGAACCATCATTCCTGGTTCTACCGACCCATGTGGATCTCAATTCAAAGTTCCACAGGTTTTGAAACATGGAGGGATTATGGTAAGCCCGATCTCCATCTTCAAGAATTGCAAATCCCTTCATTTTGTTCTTTTCTACTTTCGCTTCATTCACCTTTTTCCCTTATTATGGATGTCCGGTTTTCTACCAATGAGAATATAAGTACTTCAGCTATTAAACCACCCCCATTTCGATTACGGTTCTCTTTGCGTCTTCTGGTGTTACCATTGACTGCGATATGTAGGGATATTGGGCATTGAGAGATATTCAATGGCTTTCTGAGACTAAATCATCGAAAATTTAGTGTCTGTGGTTCGTGTAATAGAATACGCGAGCCCAGGAGTTGT